TCCCTATAGCAAAATCCTCTCCAAAAAAAAAAAGAAGAAGAAAAAGAAGTTAGAGTGCCTATATTAATATCAGACAAAGTAACCTTGGGAATAAAGAACATTATCAGAGAGAGGGGAACATTTAATTGATAAAAGGGCACTATCTTAAATGTATAGGTATATAACAATAAAGTTTAAAAAATTCATGAAACAACAATTGCCAAAACTAAAGGAGAAAGAACTAAGCCTACAGCTATAGTGAAAATTTTAACACTGCTATTAATATATAGAATAAGTGATTTTAACGCTCTATTAATAATAGAATAAGTAGGGGACCAGAAAATGGTGCAGGAGTTACATCCTTAGACTCCCACATGGCCAGCTGTGGTTCAAGTCTTGGGCCTAGTGGATTGAAACTCACCCGGGGTGTGTGTGCCCAGTATCTAGGGAGAAGAAGGGATTGTGGCATGGCCATCCCCCAAGGGGTGATTTCTCATATTCCCTCTCACTGTCTCTGTCTCTCTCTCTGGTGAGCACATACACCCTAATACAAAAACCTCTAAAATAATAATAATAGAAAGTAAAGGAGAATTAGTAAGGATAGAGAAAACATGAACATACTATCAACCACTGTGACCTAACATTTATGAAACACTTTATCCAGCCATGACAGAATGCACATTTTTTCCTAGTGCATGTGGAATATTTACCAAGATAGACTTTATATTGAGCTATAGAATAGTCTTAATAAATTTAAAAAGGTTGAAATCATGCAGAATATGTTCCTGGCCATAAATTAATTAATTAGAAATCAGTAATAAAACATACATGAAAAACTCCAAATACCTGGGAATTAAATGCACTTTTTAATAAACAATGTATCAAAAGAAGAGGACAGAGAGATGAAAGGAACTATTTTAAATGACTTACAATGAAAATATATTTTATTTGTGGTATTCAGCTAAAGCAATTCTTAAATTTTTAAGTGTTTGTATAAGAATAAAAATTTTAAATTTATGATCTAAATTTCCATATTAAACTAAAAAAAAAAAACCTCAAAGTAAACCCAAAGTAAGAAAAAGGGAATATTAAAAGTTAAAGGAAGAAAATGTTAAGGTATAGTAATAACTGAAACGAAATAAACACGACAGAAAGCTAACCCAACCAAAACTGTTTTTTTTAAGAGATCAATAATAAACTCCTACCTGGACTGATTAAGGGAAAAAGAAAAAGACCCCCACAAATTACCAACATCAGAATGAAAGAGGGGACATCACAAACATTAAAAGGATAATAAAGGAATATTATAAATAAATTATGGCAATAAATTTGACAGTTCAGATGAAATTGAAATGACAGATGACTGAACTTCACAAGAAGAAAGGACATTTGAATAGCCATATACTAGTAAAAACATTATATTTATCATTGAAAAATCCTACAAATAAAACTGTAGGCTTGATCTCACTAGTGAATTCTATAAAATGTTCTATAAAATATTTAAATAGAAGTTAATATTGGTCTTTTACAAAGTCTTTCAAAAGAGAAGAGAGGACTCAAATTCATTTTATGGGGTTGGCATTATTTTATGCCAAAATCCCAAATCACTGAAAGGCATTATAGAATTTAGTAATAAACGTCAGTATTTAGAATTGCCAATTCCCTGAGCTCTTAAAGATCCTGTGGTTAAAAATTTGTCCAGTTGGCCAGCAGGTGGCATAGTAGTTGAGGTGTTGGACTCCCACATGGCCAACCATGGTTCAAGTCCTGGACCTGGCAATTTGCTTTCTCACTTTCTCTCTCTTTCTCCCTCTCTCTCTCTCATCAAATTAAAAAATAATAATAAATAAAATTAAGTAAATAATTCTTTCTAAAAAGTCACCCAGTTCTTTGAATTCGTGGACCTAAATTTCCAGGTTAGGATTTCTTTTCCTTAGGCTTGTTAATCAGTTGTCATTTTACCACTACTTTTGGGTGTCCTAAATTTTGCTGTTCTTTTTTTCTCCATCTTTGGGGAATTTATGCTTTTATTATTTGAGAGATTTTTTTTTTTAATTGTTACTATTACTTGTATTTAAGACCATCCTTCTGGGATGATTTTTCTCTATCTTGAAGCACATCCTTGAGAAGTTACTTCAGTGCAGTTCTCTTCGTAGTAAGGTCTCAGGTTTTTTTCCTTTAATATGTAAATGTCTTTATTTTTACTTTCACTCTTTAAAGTTGTTGCTGAGTTCAAACTCGGGGTTGACAATTAACTTCTCTCAACATTTAACAAGTGTTCTCTGACTGCCTATTTTCTCCTTTGCCACTTGGGAGAAATCTGCTGTCATCTATATCCACCTTTGGAGTCAGCTCACTCCTACCTCTCAGGAGCAAACTTTCATTTTCATTTTCCCCTACTTTGTATTCCTTTTACCCTGCTATGAAGCTTTATTGTTCCATTAAAAAGAAAGAAAGAAGAAGGAAGAAAGGAAAGGAAAAGAGAAACCCTTGTCACTCAATGGATGGCCTTTAATAGGCGATCTTTCCCTTTCCTTCGGCTCCTTTGAAGGCTTTCTCTTTGTGTTGGGTGTTCAGCAGTTGCAATATGCTGTGCGCGGTTTGTTTGCATTTGTCCTGGAAGGGGTATGTTGTGCTTTCTGTTTCTGGAGATACCTTTTCATTTTAACCAGTTCTGCGCTATTTTCCTTTTAAATGTTGGGTTGTCAAAAAAAGTCATGACACATTTTGCATGGAAAAATACATCCTGACTTTCCCGACAACCCAGTAGAATCTCTTTTCCATTCCCTCTATTATCTCCTTTGTAAGTCTGATTTAAAACATTTTAAACCTTCTCATTTTAGCTTCCAGAATTCTTTCTGAAATATTCGATCTCCTTGTTTCTATGCTGCATTCTCAGTTGTACCTTTCGTGATATCTTCTGATTCACTAATCTTTCTCCAACTAGGCCTCATTAACCATTTAACCCACTGACTAGGCATTGCCATTTTATGGTTTTTCCTTTTCAAATTCAATGATCACTTTGTTCCTAATTGCCCATTGTTAGTTGGTTGGTCGTTTTTATTCTACATTTTTATTCTACTTGTTCTATATTCTATTTCTGACAATTCTGTTATCTATGATCTTCGGTGTCTGAATTCATTGTTTATTTTCCTACTAACTTTCAATTAATTGTAGTGACTTGTCTTGTTTATTTGATGACCTTTGTATTGCGTTCATTGCTCTATTTTGGGTCTTGGGAGACCTGAGGCCTGCACTAGGGTTTGGGAACGCTTTCTGTAGAGAAAATTGTTCCTGTTCTTTCCTATATTCAGGGACACTGAGCATGAGGGCCTTGCTCAGCAGGGAAGCCCCAGGCTCACCTTCTTGATTTTGCTGCTGACTCAAGCTCAGTAGCAGCCCTCAAGCTTTCCCAGGTGCTTGTAAGCTCATTTTGTTTGGCCTGACCCCAGCTTCTCCTTGCTCTAGCCCCAGTTCAAGTTTTCATTTGCTTGCTCTTAGAAGTTGTGAGGGCATTTACAGATCCACATGTACTTTGGGGTCCCCGTAGCCAGGGAGTCAGCACTGCAATATCTCATTGATAGTCAGTGTTCTCGCCCCAAGAGACTTGTCACCCCTCCAGGGTTCTAGGAGGGACAGGGAAGTGGGCATGGTGATTGAAAAAATGCCCACTACAGTCTCTGTTCCCATTTGTTTAATGTCCTTACAGGATTCTACAGGTTTTGCAACCACACATGGATTTATGAATCTGATTCCATCTTCTTTGACAGTCGACTGGCCTTTTTAGTCCATTTATTCAAGTTTAAACCTATAATCTTATTGTTCTTGTTGTATACTTTTGAGTTTTGAGCTCCTGGTTCAACATGTTCTCCTGATACTCTATACCTGCAAGTCCCCACTCCAGTGATTCAGAGTGGATCTGATTTGCCTGTTCCACTGATTAAGAGCTGGTAGTGTGTGTAAGTGGTCGGTTTTAGTTGAGGGTGCCTCTTGCTAGAGACTCTGTTACCTGAGCACATAGTGCAATCTCTAGGCAGGATTTATACTTTTTTTCTTTTAGATACTTCAGGGCATTAGCAGACCTTAAAACTTTAAGAAAGGGTTTTTCATATCTCCACTATAACCTTAGAACTCATGAACCTGTGGGCTTAGGCTTGCATTCAGGTGTTTTCAAAGATGGTAGGAGGTTGGCCTGGTTTGTATGAGAGAGAAAGGTGGGGGTGGGACTTAGACAGGACACTGGGTGATAGGAAGTAGGCCTGTGGCTTTAGTAGAGAGAGATGGGTCCTGGGTGGTAGGAGGTAGGCCTGAGGGTCATGGTTGAGGGTAGAAGAAACCAGGAATTGGGAGGTGGGCCTAGGATCTGATTCCAGAAGAATCAGGACTAGCGGGTTTTAGCTAATTAGGTGCTCTAGTAAGGTACTCTCAGAGTGAGGATGATATATCCCCACCTCTGAGAGGGCTGAGGAGAAGCAGTTATCCCCTCATGAGCATCTTCATCCTCAAATTGTGCTCAGCCAGGCCTACTGCGTGAGGGCTCTGAGAATCCCTGTAAAGGAGAGATGCTGGTAGGAGGAGGGCTGAGGACTCCAACCTCTGGAAGGGGTTGACCTGGGCAAATCACAGTAAGCTTTGAGGGACATCTGTAAGGTGGACCTTTGAGCTCAGGCCCCGAGGAAGTATTTAATTGCAGCCTGTTGGCCTGGGGGTTGGTGGTCAGGGACCTGCAAACAGTTCCCATGTGGGAGGGGGCAGAGCATATGGAATGAGCTACTCACATGTGGATTGTGCCATCTTCTAGCCCTGGGAGGTCCCTGGCCTGGCCCTATTGTTGGGCACAGGGAAGACCCTAACTCACTTGTGAGGTGAGCTGCTGGCTTGTCCCTTGCCCAAGTGTCATCCCCTTACCTCACACCCAGCAGGCCAAGCATGTACAATGGTGTTTACCCCTTAATGCACACCCAAGTGTCCTTCCACTGCATGTTGTCCAGGAAAGGTGTGAGGACAGCCATCCATACTCATCAGGAGCAGAAAAAGGGTTTATTCAAATGAAAAGAGGTGAATAACATGAAGTTGCCAAGTGAAGTTTCTGAAACCGCCCTCTTTTTATTTTCATGTTTTTGTCCTGCTCAGCGCTGGGAGCAGTGCACAGTGGAAGTCTTGCTCAGGCAGTGGGTGCAGCAGCAGCCTGGGGTGCCAGGTCTGAGGTATTTCACTTCCGTGTGGATACAGGACTCCTGGACTTGAGGGATGTTGTATTACCCAAGAACTAGTGTGGATGTTCTCTGTATGGAAGACAACTTCCCAGAAGAGTAATAAATTATCACAGGACATAATGGCATAATTTAGAGTGGAGACTTGTGAGCTTTGGGGATTAATTTATCCACACAGAAGGATAAATCGCAAAAAGGAGCCTATTCATGGCATTCCCTTCCCTGCCACCAGAGGCCCTTCTGTGAAGAGATAATTGGCCAGCCCTGGTCTGCACTAAGGGCAGGAACAGTAAAAACAAAAAGCTCTTGTGCCCTTGACCACCTGCCTACAATGACCCAGGCCTGAGTGTCCCAAGGCTGAGGGGGTATGAGGGGCCGCAAGCTCTGGTTTTAGACACAGTTATCAGGAACACACTCAGCCTCTTCTTCGAGTTCAGGGCAGGGAGTCCCGTTGTTGGCAGACTGGACACGGACATAGCGAGTTCTGCTCTTGGCTCCCAGCTTCCCACAAGGACCTCTGCACAGTCCCCAGGACGACCACAGGGAAACCTCGCAGTCCAGCGGTGTTTCTGGAACTGGACCAAGCACAAGAGAACATGAACACTCTTGTAAGGAGGTGCTTCGTGGTAATAGACAGAGCCCCCCCACCCCTATGTGTGTGTTCATCTTGGAGACCATCTCCAAACTTCAGAGGCTTAAAGAAATACTTGCTTTTCTTAGCATGATTATAGAGTAAGATTAATGTCACCAAATGTGGCTTTCTAAAACAACCAAATGACTTGAGCCATGCATTTTTATACCAAGAGCTGGATGCTGTCACTCAGGTACCTACAGTGTCCTGGGCTTTGGGAAACAATGAGGGCCCTGAGGGGACCCCCATATAAGAAGTAAGAGATTGGAAAATGTTCCTGTTGTAGAAATGTGCTTTGAATTGGAGCATACTCTGACAAAAGTCTAGTCTCACCTGCAATGTTTATTGCTAATAACCAATGTATTTCTGAAGACAGAAATAGCTGGAACTGGACCGAACCATTTGGGTTATGAGACCCCACAGCATTTTTAGTATCACGGTTACTGTTTTATTATGTCCCATCTGTTTACACTATTTTCATTAAGAAATCAGTTTAGGGTTGAGACCAGCAGTTGGTGTAATGGCTATGTTGCTGGACTCCCATGTAGTCAACCTCAGTTTGAATCCTGGACCCTGTGGCTTAAACTCACGCCGGGCACATGTGTGTGCGTGCCCAAGATCCCGAGAGGAGAATGGAGGAGAAGGGATTGCGGCATGACCAGCACCCCTGGGGGGTGATTTCTCTGGCGAGTGTATGTTCCCTATACCAAAAAAAGAAAAAAAAAAAAAACTCAAAAAAAAAAAACCTCAAAAAAAAAATCAGTTTAGGGTTATGGTTAAATCACCTGATAATTTCTGTTTTTTCGAAAGAAAGCGAAAAAGCCTCTTATGTACACCATATGCAAAAATAGGCAAATGGACATTTTTCTCTGGGTGTATGGCCAGGAGGTTGGGCAGCTCCCTCCAGAAAGTCAGAGCCTGGCCTCTGTTATACACATGGGGGCAATATGATATCATCAGTCAGCAAGAATGGTAGTCTTGTTCCTCGCTGGAAATCCCTAAGCCTCCTTCTGCCTTACAGCAGCTGAAAGGCCCAGAGACACTTCCCAGCTTCCTGACAGAAAAGAGGGCAATCCAAGCCACCATCCTAGAGTGTGGTGAGGAGCCAACAAGCACTTGCAGCAGCCCCTGGTCTGCAGTGAGGACCTCACAAGTAGATCTCTAGGATCTTGAGGATCCTTGTGAGGAGGAGACCTGATAGGAGGGGCATTCAGTCTGTGAACAAGAAGTGAGAGAGGAGCTGGGCTGGCTTGGCATAGGCCTGGCAGAAGCTTCCTCAAGGATACCCACCATGCCCTGGCCTTTGCCTCAGGAGGTTGAGTGTAGCACAGAGACCCATGGCCGATGGCATACGCTCCATCCCATGTCGGGGATATAGAACAAGGACATGAGAGAAGAGAAGCAGACCAGTGTCAGGGAGGAAGGTATGAGGAGGCTCTGGGAAGAGCTGGCATAGCAGCTGGGGACCCTGGAACATTGGAAGCAGGGACACCATGGTATGGGACTGCACTCCTCAGACATCCTGGGTATTGGGTAGAGAAGGGACTCAGTTCAGTCCTGCCCCATCTAATGATAGATCTTTGGATAGAATTATTTACACATAGTTCCATGATGTTATCCTTGAGCAAGCACAGCTGGCCCCATCCTCCTCTCACCCTCTCCATGTCCAGTTCCTACAGTCAGGGTTTACCGCCATGTCTCCACCTGCCCAGTACCTGCAGAGCCCCCTCATGCTTGACTATGGCTGACTCCACCACTTCCCCACCCACTGTAGTGGGTCCCTCCTAGGTCCGGACAATCTGCCAATGAGTGGTTCTTCTTGCCAGGCTGCTGTTGTCTGTGGTATGTAACTGGTGCTCAGTGGTGTTTGCCCACTGAATGAATGATTTGTTTGTGTCCACCTGGAATGGTGTGTCTACTAGGACAAACAAGGAAGAACACTAAACCTGAGCTGGGGTGGTAGGTGTGGCACCACTGTCTGGTGTCTATAGGGCTGTCCTCTAAAAGCAGAGGCAGGAGACACCAGGGCTGGTACTGGTTCACAGGGAAGCCAGGTCCACCCACCCTGGTGCTGTGTACAGCCTGTGGTCTGGGGCAGTATCTCATCAATCATGTAGAGTTCACTACCTCCTGTATGACCCTGACCTGACCCACAAGTTCAGCTAGAGGCCTGCCCAAGAGCTCAAGTCTGTCACATAAACCCCTAAGCTTCTCTCAAGTTCACCCTGTGAGGTAGAAGATGATCACTAATGAGGCTCTGTAGCTGCCAGACTTTGATTGACTCCAGTTCTTCTGTGGGAAATGCCTGCACAGCTGGTTGAATCAAGTCCTCTCTCATCTCAAGGCCTATAACAGAGGGTACCTCCAGTGTCCATGACAGGTGAGACTCAGGTCCCTAGACTTGCTCAGTCACTCCATCCACCCTTTCTGAGGGGCTGCTTGAGGCCTTCTGACTAGTTAGAGACTCACCACCAGTGGGCACTATCTAGGACCCAGGCAGACATTCCAAGAGCCAGTTGGAGGGCACTTGAGTTAGTGACTGTTAGCCAGCAGCCAAACTCCCCAAGTCAGTCATGTTGGGATAGGTCCCAAGATCCCCCAGGAGCCCTTGCAGCACAGCTTCCACACCCCATGGGCAGTGATGGCACCACTGATGACACCTGCTCCCTTTACCAGTGAGGGGCCAGGTGGGATTAGAGAGAACAAACTTTCTCACATTCCTATCTGTTGTGACACACAGGACACCGTGGAACCATTCTGTTGGGGATATTGTCTCTGAGGCCCTCTCTTGGGCCACTTTTCATTGTTCGTCACTAAAGTAGTGTAAGATGCTTTCAGATGCCAACTTAGTGAAAGAGTTGAATCAACCAAATTCTAACTCTTTAAAATTAGCGTCATCTGCAGCCAACAGGTGGCATAGTGGTAAAGGCACTGGACTCCCACATGATTGACCATGGTTCAATTCCAGGACCTGGAAGCCTGCTTTCTCATTTTCTGCCTCTCTTGTGAGCAAATTTTAAAAAATAATAATAAATAGGCACAAGCAGATGGTGTAATGGTTATATCACTGGACTCCCACATAGTCGACCGCAGTTTGAAAACCAGACCCTGCGGCTTAAAACTCATGTCGGGCGTCTTTGCATGTGTGTCCAAGATCCCAAGAGAAGACTGGAGAAGGGATTGTGGTGTGGTCATCCTCTGGGGGGTGATTTCTCACTTTCTGTCTCTCTGGTGAGTGTATGCACCCTATAGCAAAAACCTCTCTTAAAACAAAAAGTAATAATAATAAATAAAATTAAATAAATAGTTCTTTAAAAAAATAGAAAAAATATGGGGCCAGCAGGTGGTGTGGTGGTCAAGACAACTGGGTTCACACATGGCCAACCTTGGTTTGAATCTCAGACCTGGTGGCTTGAAAAATCACACCAGGCACATGTGTGTGCATGCCCAAAATCCCAAGAGGAGAATGGAGGAGAAGGGATTGCAGTGTGGCCATTCCCTGTAGGGGGTGATTTCTCACTTTCCCTCTCTGTCTTCTCTGGCAAGTGCATGTGCCCTATGGCAAACACAAAAATAAATAAATACATAAAATTGGCATCATCTTGTAATGAATGCTGTGAATCCTCTGTTTGAATACTCAGATACTCAGGTTCATGTGATCCTGGACGACATCCCTTGGAGAACCTGAGAGAGGCTCCAGACTTTTAGAGCTTATGTGAAGGCTGAGATCCAGCATGGTACAGAACTTGTGCTCTGCCACAGTCCGAGCCAGAGCTCTGGGCCCACTGTGCATCACGGGGTGACACTTGCCTCATTGGGCCCACAGTGCACAAATTGAGCTGTGGCTTTTTCCCCCACAGGACATCACCAGGGACAGACACAGAGTTTTCTTCTAAGCCTAGTCACCTGGGTACCCTGGGATCACTCACGTCAATCGGAGGGCTCCGGTGCACTTTCAGAGCCATGCCGGCTGCCTCTTGGCTATGTGCCAGCCTGCGTCATGTCCTCACCATTGGGCTGGCTGCAGTACTGGGAGATGGGGAACCTGGACATTACCTGAGAGGCTGTCCACAATCTCATTTCCTCTGCTGGCCAGGTCCAGGGCTGGTGGGACGAAGGCCCTGGGGCTCTGTCGGAGTCGCACCAGAGTCACCCTGGCTATTGGAGGCAGGGACTTCAGCCGTGGGTAGTAGAATGAGTTTGCGGGGTGGCTGGGAGAGGAGGATGTTATCTAGGATGGAGGAAGAAGAGGCGTTCACAGGGGTGGTCCAAGAAGCCCAGTACCTGGCATCCAGCAGGGTGGCACTGGAAAACACCCCCACCCAGGCCACCGCTAAGTGACACAGGAGCCCAGCTGGGCCTCTCTCTGAGCCTGGAGAAGGAGTGCTGTGTCTCCACCTGGCTTGTGAGAGTGACACAGTGCTCAGCTGCGCCATCTCCTGATGGTGCCTGCGCACTGCACTCGCGCGGCAGGCTGGGTACATGTGCTCCTCACGGCAGTCCCACGACATGTGGACGAGGACACAGAGCAGTAAAGATCAGACTCTTCAGGCTGCATCTTGCTGTCCTCCCTGCCATGCTGCCAGCTTCTCAGGGATGGACTGCACCCCCTTGTTCACTGGGAAGCTAGAAACAGACCATGTTCCAAACAAGACCCAGAAGATGAGGGGACCAGAGGACACCGCCAGCAGGTGACAGTGCTTTGCCTCGGTCCTCCAGGAATAGGCAGTGTCCTCACAAACAAGTCTACCCCACACTGAGGTTCAGGGCACTCCTGGAACAGAGTGGAGGGACAGAGGGCAGAGGGGGTGTCAGTCATTCACCTCAGTCACCGTGTCCTGTGGGATGGTGGCAAAGTTTGGGGAAGAGAAGGTGAAGCCGCTGTCTGTCCCGGCATCGTAGGGGTAAAGGTCCACAGTAACTTGCTCCTTCCAGCGGCCTCCCTCACACAGGTCCAGACTGTCGATGCCCACAAACCAGTCGGGGCTGGGGATGATGCGCACCACAAAGGACACCTGGGTGCAGGCGGGTGCTCAGTGAGGCCTCGGCCTCTTGGCCACTCGGGCTGCCCTGCCCCTGCTGCTGGCGTGCTACTTACCAGCGAGTGCCTAGAGTGAGCCTCGAGTTCTGTGGCGGTCTGCCCAGTGCCACTGGGGACAGCAGGGGCCGCAAACACCTCGTGCACACTCTGGAGTTTCTCCCCGGCAGCCTCCATCTCCTTCATGAGGGACCAGGCCTCGCCTCGCTCGGCGAAGTCTCTCAGCCCGTTGCTGACGTACTCATTCTTTCTCCACATGCTGTAGTCGGAACTGTGAGCTGCCCCTGGGAGACAACCCAACTGGGATCCAAACTGGCTACAAGGCAGGGAACCGTGTCCACTCCTGTCACGTGCAGACAGTGACATCCTGTGGCCGCACAGGATGGGCTTCAGGCTGTGACTAGCATCAGGTGGCCTTTCTCGTGACTGTCCACCCTTCCCTCACACATCACCAGAGTCCGGAATGTCACCTGCCCCTCACGTATGACCAGTTGGCACAGAGCTGGCCCTAGGAAATACGTTTGGCACTGAAGTCCACTGGGCGTGAGGTGCCCTCCACAGCGCGAAGTGCTGTGCAGCTGTTAGGGAGACGGTGTCCCGAGCTGCAGCGCCCGCCCTGAACTGGGGAGGCAAGGAGGGGGCTGCACTTACCCAGCAAGGAAGACCACTGCGCAGGAGGCCTGAACAGGGGGTACTGCTTGGGGAAGGCAGACTGGCTCCACTTGCCGGAGAAGGTGATGCTGTATTTGGCCAAGGGTCTGGCGGTGCAGATGGACTCTCCTCCAAGTGGCTGGCCAGCCGCAGCGCCCAGTGTGGCCAGGAGGAGAGCCCAGAGAGCCCGGCCCAGGGCGGTGGCCAGGCTTGGGTTTTCCATTACCTACCAGCAAAGAAGAGCGGCCACACGCTGGCACGATTAGTCCCCAGGGCTCCCTGCAATACTGGCCAGTTCCAGGGATGGGGGTGGAGGACGGTGAGACCAGAGGGCGCTCCCAAGTGGCACTCTGGGTGCTAGGGGCTCTGATGATGGCCCAAGGTGCCTAGGCATCGCTCCCTGTGCCCCAAAACTGTTCCGCTGTTTCCCAGGCCCTCGGTCCAGGGACGGAAAGTCGTGTCAGGTTACAGGGCGCACAGATTCACAATGTCTGCGAGAACCTAAAGGTAACTGGCAGGTTTATAGTCCCCAGGATCACTGCACGCCCGACACAGCGTCGGCGTCAAGCGCAGAGCTCAGCGGGATTCCGCTCCCTGCTGGCCTGGGTGACAACCAGGAGGTACACTTCTCACCCCGGTCCTTGTGTCTCAGCCGCCAGTCTGCCATCTCAGGAATGCGGACCGGCGCGCTCAGGGCGACATCAGCAAAACTCAGGCCATTGCCAGTCCCCAAGGTAGGTCCCCTCATGGGATATTGTAGGTTTCTCGGATAAGGGGAAGGCGCAGGAGGCCCGGGCCCTCTCTGGATCTGCGGGTCCCGGGGACAGGAGCACAAGGTACTCACCGGCAGGAGCGGCGGGAGGGCAGGCGGCAGGGCAGG